TTCTTTCTTTTCTTGCTCTTATCCTTAGAAGTGCTTTCCAAATGAACATTTTCAGATCTGTCTTGTTTCAACCTTTCGTCATCTTGCACACAATATGAAATAAGCTCATTTAGAGACCATTTCTCCTTCTAGCAATTATAACTGACCTTAAATAGACTTAATTGTTCAGGAAGCGAGATCAATACCAAATGTACGAGCAAGCCATCAGATAGCTCGAGCTTTAGTGCCTTAAGTTTAGAAGTAATATGAGACAACTCCATGATGTACTCCCTTATATTTCTTTTGCTTTTATACCTTATTGAAATTAAGCGCTGCAACAGCGTGTCTTGTTTCAGCCTTATCATTTTTCACAAAACGTTTCTCAATTTCGACAAAGAAATCATTGGCATTAGTCATTTTTTCAGATACTGCGCCTCTAAAGGCTTCCGGAATGCCGCGCTTAATGATCATTAGACTCATGCGGTTTGAGCGATCCCACTTCTCAAAGTTCCTCTTTTTATCAGATGAATTTTCTTCTGTAATAGGAATGGGTTGCTCAATCCGAAGCGCAAGATCTAGATCCATGCAATCAAGAACAATCAATACGTTTTCTTTCCAATCCTTGAAATTTGTCCCATTGAGTATAGGAATAGAATTAACATTTGCAGATATTGTAGTAGCAGATGAACTAGCTGTGGAGAGAAAATGGATAAATTATGCTCATATTAATATTAACATTCAATAATCAATAAATTCAAATAATAGTAAGTCTCATCTCAACATACCTAACACATCATTAATATCAAGTCTTTAGATAGAGATATTAATTGTAAGTGGTACTCTTGATGTAGTGATCAAACATTGACAATAACTCTTGTCAAATAATAAACTCATCTTTGGATTGATTTACTATTCACATGGAAACCTTATAATTGTCACACGTTTACCACCACAAGTGTGCAAGCGATTCGGCCAAATATTAACCTTCCTTTGGGCCGGTTAATATCCGCGTGAACTAGCATACACACGAAGTCCTAATATTCTAAGTTAATTAATTCAATCAATTCACTTTTAAATATTATATATACTCAAATGAGTCCTTCATACCAAAATTTGAAAAGCATAATACTTAATTTTATTTATTTTGAAATTTAAGGGCCTAAGGATTAATAATTCAATACTTTATAGGTCAAATTAATTACTTCAAAACTTTATGGGTTAATAATTAATTATTGAAAAGTTTAGAAGTCAATAATCAATTATTCGAAACTTTAGGGGCCATTAAACCAATTATGAACATTAAGAGGCTTAATTATGAAATTCAGAACTTAAATGGCCCAAATTATTTAATTTAGAACTTCATGGGCGGAATTATTAAAACTCATAACATTAAGGCTCTATTTAAATAAACTTTCAACTTCATTGGCTGAATGATAAATAACTCAACCCTAACCCTAATTGCAAGCAGGGGCCCCAAAGTTTCATATTTGTAGCCCAAGTCCCAGCCCCCTAAAATTTCAAAACTGAAACCTTAATTTTTCCATAACTGAAAACCTTAATAGGAAAAGCCCCTTCTTCTCCCTAGACAGCGCCGCCAAGCCAACAAGTGACCCGCTAAGGCTCGAGTCGAGCCTCATTTTTTTGGTCGAGCTTTTGCACGACTCGGGCCCAAAAAGCTCAGGCNGCATAAAAAATAAAATTATCTTCCTTTTAATTAAATAAAAATGACAACAAAAAGGAAAAAGAGAAATAAATAGTAAAGAACTGTATTCAAAAAAAAAAATTTATATATATATATTAAAATTTTAATGAATCAAAACGGAGGGGGGGATTATTAATATAAGGGATAATAGAATATTTCGTCCCAACCTTTTGAAAATATATAGGAACTTCCCCTAACTTTTAAACTGCACAAAACATTCCCATATTTGAGTGAATAGTTATGGAAGTCCATAATGACAGATCCCGTGCAACCGTTAATGCCGCATAAAAAATAAAATTATCTTCCTTTTAATTAAATAAAAATGACAACAAAAAGGAAAAAGAGAAATAAATAGTAAAGAACTGTATTCAAAAAAAAAAATTTATATATATATATTAAAATTTTAATGAATCAAAACGGAGGGGGGGATTATTAATATAAGGGATAATAGAATATTTCGTCCCAACCTTTTGAAAATATATAGGAACTTCCCCTAACTTTTAAACTGCACAAAACATTCCCATATTTGAGTGAATAGTTATGGAAGTCCATAATGACAGATCCCGTGCAACCGTTAATGCCGCATTAAAAAAAAATAAAAATTATCTTCCTTTTAATTAAATAAAAATGACAACAAAAAGGAAAACGAGAAATAAAAAGTAAAGAACTGTATTCAAAAAATAAATAACCCTCTGTAATCACCACTACACTCACAACCACGTTATTCCACTATTGTTAGTGTTGGTTCATCTGTTCATTTCAATTTTAGCTTTTCAAATCCGACCTTCAATGTCACTTTAAGACACCTCATTTTTCTCTTCTTTCTTGTCAATTTACCTAAAGCTCGGGATTTTTTCTAAAACATTTGAAACACCTTGCCAATCAATAAATTCATAGTCAAAAACACAACGAATATTCCTTTAACCGTCTAATTTTACACATATCAGAGCACATTTTATGAGCTCGAGGTCAAGCACGTCTCATTCGATCAACGTCAATTTCACCTGTTCGATTTCGCATGTGCATCACCTTCTACAATTTTCAGTAGTATCATAATAGTAGTTTTACTTTCATTATTATTTTTTCTTACTTCAATATATGGGTTTGTTATACCTAGCATGTATTAGAAAATCAAAACGTGTTTCAAATTTTACATTTTCTTACCTTTAACCAATGAAACAAGTTATTTATATAAAAAATTCTAAGCAACCTTACTTATAAGTGAGCTTTGCCAAACATGTTTCTCAATCTTGAGTTAAATATTAACAAAGAATTGCGTCACTTAATTGCATTTTTTGCTGTGATATGAGATAAGGTGTTTAAATGCATTAGAAAAGAACCGTTTTTTCTGAGTTTGAAGAATTGGTGGAATCATTAATGAGCTCTTGTTTTCATGTTACCAACTAAGCATCTAGGACGGTAAATGGATCTGATATAGATCGGATCTGCCTATATTCGATCTGATCCGATCCGATAAGAAAATTATCCAATCAGATCTGATCCGATAATCCAACGGATGTTTGATTGTTAAATCCATATCTGATTTGTTATGTTATCGCATATCCGATCCGATAATCCGATCCGAAATTAATAAAAATTAGGAAAAAAATCAATGTTGGAATTAAATCATCATACATTAAACAAAAAATTGAAAATCGTAAAATAAACCGTTAAACTGGCCGGGTAACCGTTAACAGAAAAACGGGATCCAAATAAAATGATTTTATGTTATTTAAAAATTTTGAACTAACTTGAAGCCCACCTGTTTTTACTAGCAAGCTCAATAATGACTTCTACCATCATGATATTTAATTCTAAAGGAGATATCATCTTCTACTTTTCTATTGACATTCTAAATATATATATATATTTGATTTCATTATTTCTATTAACAAATCAAATTATTTGTTACATATTAATTATTATTTTTTGAAGTTGTAAAATAAATTTTAATTTAAAAAAATAGATATTTATTTACTTTAAATTAGAAAAAAAATTAAAAAAAATATTATTTTTATAATATTTTACATTTATGTGTATAGTTATTTATTCAATTTCACAACCGATTCGACCCCGATTTTACTTTTTGACCCTTGACCATCTTCCTTTTTCGGATCTATACACAAGTCGGTTTTTAAACCATTGGTTGAAATCATTTTTTTTTTTTTCTNTTTTTATTCTAAACTTATTTATTTTCTTATTTATTTTAGTCACAAATAATATTCCATAAAAATATTTTATCGACTCAATTATTTATAACAAATCGGATCGAATTGACATATATCCATAGTTGATCCATTTAGTTAACAGATTATCGGATTCAGTTCTTGATCGAGTTATCAGATTGAGACCCTAAATACATCTCTCATTAATTTCGCTGGATTCGAATCAGATTCAGATCAAAATCAAATCCATTGACATTCCTTTTTGCATCCATTAACCAATTATCATTAAATGTTATGTCCTCATTCACCAAATTATTTAATTATAATCAATTTTAATCGGCATGCTTGGCTATAAATAACGAATAAGATACTGAATTGCTCTGATACAAATTTGCTGTATTAATAGACGACAAAAGAAAATATGAGACAATATAAAGTAATTGATAACAAACTCAAAAACACGATAGTTGGCAAAGGAATGGAAAAAGAATACAATGATTTTGTGTTTACAATTTGTTTTAACTTAATCTAAAATACAATGAAGAGCTATATATATATATAGAGAGAGAGAGAGAGAGAGAATGTTTCGAGCTCAAAAAGTAGATTTATAGATGAAAATGAATGCTCAAAACGCGTCAACATGTAAAAATGGGCCTAGGCCAGATGAGCCAACGGTGCCAAGGCTCTGCTAATTATCTGACGATGTCGCTCGAGTGCCTAGCTAGCGGCCCGCTAGCCTAATTGTGGCGACTTTTTCTCCCTAGTCCATAACTTAATCTCTTCAAATCCAACACTTCCAAACAAAACTTCAATTAAAATTTGTCAAATAGACTTCGAATATGATTCCAAAATAGCATTCCAAATAAAATTTTTCGAATAGACTTTAATTAGAATTCTTAATTATTTTTCAAATAGAATTCGGGTTACCCCCAATCCTAACATGCTTCTTGTGGCTTTTTCACCTCAATTCTAACACGCTTCTTGTGGCTTTTTCACTCACCTAATAATCCGTCTCATTAATTCTTTCCCATTTCTCTTCTCTATACAGCTTTCATTTTCTCAACTCAGCCCACTTAAACTCTCTCTATCTCTCTCTCTGGCTATATATACATTATATATGCAGGCAGCAGGCACAAAACTGATAGTGGTAGAGGATGTTTAGGTTGATCACAGGAATAGCAGGCCCCAGTGGGTTTGGATCGGCATCAACTGCTGAACAAGTCACTCAGGGGATTGATGCCACAAATCTCACTGTTCTTATCACAGGTTAGATATATTTCAGATTTGTGTGTATACATGCAGTAAGAACACTTATATTTACTTAAATAAGATCTGCAGATTTTAAATTAGACAATGAAAATCTGATTGTATATCATCATCTTGGTTCCGGGTTGCCGGGTTCGGGATCAAGATTGCAAACATCTTGATTTTAATTCTCATTTCCATTAATGACAATTCAACTCGTTGGAATTTCTTGTTGTGTTTAATGATTTGGCTCCTGTTCACCGTAGCTAAAAGACTGATTTTTAATAGAATTTGATAAAAGTTGAAAACCTTAATTATTGATTTTAATTTAAATTTTTAACAAAGTTTTAAACCAAGCCAAACGGGACTTAATCTTATTTTATTTTGTAATAAATATAGTATAACTGGTAGATGGTAGATAGTAGATAGATCATTTACTTTTGAGTTACTCTTAATTTTTAAGAGTTGTCAAACGTAAGCTGTCTTTTTGCTGCAGACACAAAATCACATGTTACATGGGTTTGAAACTACACCTTCCCGAAAAGAATAATATTATTTGCAGTCGCTCACTGCAGCAGTCGTCTTATATAACACATATATGTCAAGTGTGTATTTAATGAATTATGTGGTAAAAAAAAACTACCACATTAATGCATCAAATACACACTTGACATGTGTGTGCCACATAGGACTATTGCTGCACTGAGCGACTATAAATAGTATCATTTACCGAAAAATAATCCCGATAGATCTACATCATAGTTGACATCAAGTTTGACACTTTTTTATGTGGTTGCAATATGCACCGTTGATTTTAAACACGTCCATACCATCACTATCCACAGTCCACCTAGGAGGACATCTAGCTTAATTCACCGAAAAATTAAGTGCATCCCCAAATTCATTTTAATTAAAGAGATCAACAATTATGGACTTTTTCTCTCCCCTTTTGGATCAAAATTTCCTACTTTCTCTGTATTGTCGTGCACATGGACCCGGTGGTCCGGTCAGGTCCACGTTTTGACAGTTCAAAAAGATTTACTGCAACGCGGCATAGTCCAATATGATAAATGTCTGTATTATATTGGACCTACTGCGATAACTACACATTAATTAATTTTCACACTAAAACGTTAGAAAATTTTCAACGGCGCGCAAAGGTCCCAATGACTAAAATTGGTCACAATCAAAGTTTTGTGAAAATAGAGACGCTTGCTTAGGTTCAAGCTACTTTGAAGCACGACTGCACATTGTTCAATCCTCAACGTGTACAAGGCTAGAATACTTTGAAGGTATGTAGAGACATGCATTAAAAAAATTATTTTAAGTCACTTTTAAGCATAATTAGACTTTCAAATCATTTTTTCTCTTTTTCGGTTTAAAAATTCTTGTCTTATCGCGATGCACCTAGTTTGGTGTGGCCAGTCAAGTTCATGTTTTGACAGCTCGACCAAATTTAGCTCAATCTAGCATAGCCCAATACGGTCAACCCGTCTGGCTTATGTTGGACCTACCTCGCTAACTCACATAGATCATCTAATTTATTTTTATTTTTTTTGTAAAACTTTAGAAAAATCCAAATCATTCAAGGGTCCCAACAACCAAATTTTTGGCCATTGGGTTGTTCAGTCCAATCCAAAATGACCAAAACATTGTGCACAATAACCATTTTTGTAAAAATAGAAAGGCATGTATAGGTTTAAGCTATTTTTAAGCACAACTGCATGCTATAATCCTCAACTTGTATAGGACAAGGCTACTTTGAGAGTATGTACAGATCTATTTTCTGAAGATAATAGCATGCGGTAGATCTGTACAAAATTTGTATACAGATCTGTACAGATCATAGAAAATGTTGAGTGCATCCAAATCAAGCGTTTAAATGCAAACTTGTGTTAATTGCAGGTGGTGCAAGCGGGATAGGTTTTGAGACAGCAAGAGTCTTAGCCTTGAGGAATGCACATGTTATTATTGCAGCAAGAAACGTGGAGGCTGCAAATGAAGCAAAACAACTCATTCTGAAGGATAACAAAGCTGCTCGACTCGATGCTCTGAAACTCGACCTCGCTTCCCTCAAATCCGTCAAGGCCTTTGCCAATAACTTCATTGCTCTTAACCTTCCTCTCAACATCTTAATGTAATTTCCGAATTGATCACGCCCTTGCACAGATTTCAGTTAGTACTACATTGTTTTTAACAATATCGTAATTTTTTCAGAAACAATGCTGGTGTCATGTTCTGTCCATATCAGCTTTCTGAAGATGGAATAGAGATGCAATTTGCAACAAATCATCTTGGTATGCATCACTAGACAGTACTAAAGAAAGAAAACGGATTATATTGTACTGTCTAGTCTTGTCGAATACTACATAACATATTATCCACATTTTATCATGAATTCTCTTATGGTTTCTTTCTGTTAAAACTATTTATATTTGCATTCGTTGTTCGTTTCTCAGGTCACTTCTACTTGACTAACCTTCTCCTCAACATAATGAAAGAGACAGCAAAGTCTACTGGCATTGAGGGAAGGATTATAAATATGACATCAGTAGCACATCTACACACTTATGATGAAGGGATTAAATTTGATAAGATCAATGAAGAAACCAGGTAGTTTTTTATACAAATTAAAAACGTTAGTTTTAACAAAAAAAGTTCACAACCTGTGTATTTTGCAGTTATTCAGACAGGAAAGCGTACGGACAATCCAAATTAGCTAACATATTACATGCCAATGAGCTCTCACGACGTTTGCAGGTACGATCCACTTCTTCAATTTTCATTACTCGTCTTCATTTCTGTGCTAAGTTTCGGTTTAAATCGTACATTTTGGTGCAGGCTGAGGGAGCAAATATTACTGTTAATTCAGTGCATCCAGGGTTGATAACAACAAATCTCTATAGACATTCTTCACTCTTCATAAGTATGCACTAAAATGTCAAATATTCCCTCTTCTTCCTTTTGTTTTTAATTCCCTCGTGTTTACTAACACTTCTTCACAGAAATTTTGAAGTTCTTGACATATATCCTATGGAAAAACGTCCATCAGGTAAATCACCATGACGTCTCAGTCTCATCACCGCACAACATGTCAGCACGTATTACCAGCACGGAACCTATGGTTGCAACACTATTTACATTTCTGTGTAAATTTGGATATTCAGGGGGCAGCCACAACTTGCTATGTTGCACTTCACCCGGCATTGAAAGGTGTATCGGGGAAGTATTTCCTCGACTGCAACGAATATGAATCGGGCACGTTTGCGAGAGACGAAATTTTAGCCAAGAGGCTCTGGGATTTCACAAACAAGTTGGTTGATGCAGCCCAAAACATATAAACTGTTCTGTTTCCCTATAGAACCTCAGTCTAATTTCTTGATATGTAAGCAAATTATGACCATGTTTGCATCAAAACACATTGTTTTATCCTTAAAAGAGTCCTTACGATCATGGACCTCATAGTAAGATCTTTTCAAATTTTGTTTGGGAATATTACAGCTTCTCCTCTTGTTGTTTGGAATTCCATAGTAAGGTACAAGATCCACGAATCAAGAAACTACACGTAGGGCTTTTTTTTACACAGTATTGGACGATACTCAATAGGACATGCAATATTCGATAGTAGTCACATTACTTAATAAAGAAAGCAACTTTTTCGTGACCTTTTTGACTCCATTATTTAGAAATTCGCAGAGTTGGCTGCATAGCTTTTGATTTTCCCTGTCTTGTCAGGCTCATCCTAGTATGCAGGTCTGATAATAAAACAATAAAAATCTGATTTTAACTTATTTTTCTTTCTTTCACCACGGAGTGGAAACTCAAATCAAAGAAGAATTTATAGAGTACGTTCGGTACGTAGGAATGAAAATACTCAACAATAAACAAATAAGAATTAAACTTCTTCATTCATGTAAAAAATCGTTTTACTTCTTTTTGTGTAAAAGAATAGAATTCGGACAAAACTGAAAATGATAAATTGTACGAGGATAGATAAGAAATACACCGATGATTCTTACGCGAAAAGCTCTCCAATGCGTTTGACTTACAATAGTTGATCATCGTCCCCCTCCCACAAGCCCAAAGCTCTGACCGCATAAGCCGTGCTGGTGACAATCACGGCTGCAAAAACCGGTGGAACCACGACATCCATTTTGGATCTACTGAAAAGCTGAACCGGAAAACAAAGATTTTCCCCCGGAATATCCAGTGGTAATCTCAAATACCCTTCTCTATGACACGCCTGAGAAAAGGAAGAAGTTGGACTAATAGCAGAAACGAAAGCAAACTCCGGCCAGAACGATGCCACGGCCACTGTCAAAGTCAGAATCGTCGTCCACGTGGCAGCGTAGAACATCAGAGGCTCCCTTGAGAACAGCCTTCGGAAAATTGAGTTGATGAAACTGAGACTCATTTCAACGAGTATCGTGGAAACTTTTAAAACGCTAGCATTTTCGTTCAAACTCGATCAAATTTCTCAATGCACAAACTCGAAAAAGGTTAACTTTTTATAATCAAATACAAGCACGCAAATTATACATAAACTGGTCCCAATCTCAACTAATTTTGAAAGATTAAAGTTTAGTTGGTTAAGAAAATGTCAAAAGAGAGACAGGTCACTAACTCTTTTGTTAGGACTTTGGTTTTGTTGGTTCGAAAAGACTGGAGATTTTCACCTATATTTTGGTCCACGTGGCACAATATATTTTCTTCATTGACCAATTTTATTTTTAGAATTTCAGTTTCATAATTATACGTGCAATAAACCTGCAGGTGCAAGATTTTTTTACAGAATTTTAACGGGGCAGCACCCTGTCTGCCTTTTTTTTTCCCCTACCTTCCAAGTGTGATTTCGGTTGATTTTCTGCTGTTCTTTCATGTACCTATAGTGTTGTTCTTATACAGGGACTTGTTATATTTATTTTCTTCAAGAAAAAAAAAAAGAAAGATTAGAATTCCTTTTCTTTTTTGCAACACGTTGCCTTACAAATTCAATCGTGGCCCGACTAGAGACCATTCTTGTTATTAGCATAGAACCAGCAATACCAATGAAAATTGCAAAATCAAAACCGGTTTTGTAAGAACTAAGAACCAAAAAAGAGAAAATAGTTTCAATCTTAGATCGTCAAAAACCTTTGACTGAAACGTGAGAGATCATAACTCGACTTTACAACACTGGATATCCAAGATGCTTTTACATAGTAACCATCAAGATCCACGTAACAAAAATGTAGAAAATACAGGGTACATACTAAATCCATGTAGAAATTACAGCATAAATACTATTACATAATATACTTGATACGTATAATTGAACATGACTCGACACAACAGGTGAAAAATTGTCAAATTCTATCCCCTTGCTCTTCATTATTCTGTCACATCCTGCGTACCAAACGCATCCTAAATGGCTCATATTCATTTTTCAGGGTTTCTTCTATGTTTTTCATCACCAAGTCAAAACAGGCATTTCATCTGGCACAGGAATAACAAGGGCTTTCAAGAGTTCAATTTGCAAACTGATTACATCAACAAAAGAAAAGGTAAATATCACACTTTGTATGTTTAGCATCATTTTTTTATTGGCTGCAGAAAACACTAGCCTTGTTAGAAAACGGTTTTCTTCAGTTGAAACAAATGGCCAACGATCAAACAATGGATAATGGATACTTGTTTCAGCATGTTTGGGAATATTAACACAATGGCACAAATCCTTGGATGACGTCACAAAAATCTCATTTGTTAAGTTCAAGATGCACGATATGAAAATGCTTTCTCGATCTGAAGCATGAGAAAAAGAAACCCAGCCACTGAAATGCAGAGTGCAACGAGCAAGATTATGACCATTGTCTGCAATGAAATAGATGAACTGATGAAGAACACCACTGCAATTGAAGCACTTTGCCAGAGCTTAAGCTGTGCAAATGCTCCTTCCTGCAGCCACCACAAGTTATAAGATTAGATAGGAAGGGGAAGAAGATATAAAGTACAAGAAGTCAAATGTGGATACATGTATATGTATCTAAATAATATAGACACCAAAAGCTCAGTTAAGTCATATAGCTTCAATGGACTCGCAAACCAGCAAACTAAGTCTCATTCCTTATAAATTCGGGATCGGCTACACGAGTCCTTTTTTGTTGCTATGAGAGGTTCATTGTTAGATCTGTTGGAAGATTCAAACAATTAGATCCTTAGCAATCACAAAAAATCATATGAGTTTTGGTCTAGTCTACATCTCCTAACATGTTCTACTCTCGTAGACAAGAAGCTTTCTAAGTCTATGTAAAACATGTCAATCACCTAAGTTGTCATTTTCCTCAAATGGTGCCACCTCTACCTGTTGCATATATTCTCATTTCTTATCTTGTCCATTTTTAATACGACTAGACATCCATCTTAGTATCCTGATTTTTGGTACGTTCATCTTATGGACATTAACAGCCAAACACCATGTACCATAAATCAATTTCAAGTTACTGGCACTTGGCCGGGAGGGATCAATTATTCAAATGACAATAAACTATGATCTGCATCTCTGGCAATTAACAAGATACAGAGAGAGAGATACTAAATCGTTCAATAATTTGTGCTTACGCTGAGAGGTTCAAATTCACAAGATGTTTCGAGCATTAAATTGATTACAGGAGACGGAGAAATTTGAGTACCAGGTCATGCTTAAATAGGATTCCAAGCAAAGCACTTAGCTGCGTGTTCAGTACTCCATCGCCAATACCCCACAATGCCCCTATAAGAAGTGGGTATACTGTGCCAAGCACTCCTCCAGCCACACTAAATAAAAGAAGACACGGGAAGAGAGGAGAAGAGAGTAAATGATCATTTTGATAGGCTTCAAGTACATGTATGAACTTAGTTCTAAAGGTTCTCTAATATATAAAAGTGGATAGGAGAGTCGACCTGTATCCCAGCAGAAGCCAAAGCAGTACAACAATCTGAATCAAAGCTCCAGCGGAGACTATTATAGTGATCGATAAAAGACCGAAGGTAAGTCGACCAGAAGCAAGTGAACACTGATACAGGTTTCAACAGCAAGAGGAAACCGTTAATCAATTACTCGAAACCACATATATGCAACACAAAAAGCATCCACAACCTTCATATTAAAGATACCAGAAAATCTACATATGAGTCAAGCTCAAAAAAGTAACTTTTTTTTTTTTTTAAACATGTCTGGATGACTTGCTCGTTTCTTATAGTAGAAAAAAATTTGTATTTATAGTAATTCATACCTTATCGCCAAAATAATTTAATAATTTCCAACTTTGACCAATAAAAAGATTATTAATTCAAAACTTACTTATTCACTTATAAGTAAACATTTTAAGCTTAGACATACATGCTCTAAGTAAGGATCGAGGCAAAATTCGCTGTTCTAATTCTCCTATTCCATAGAGGGGATATCATATAAACAGTAGTACCCTCAAGAAGTAGTTGCTGTACATAGGGAGTCGCTCAAGGTGAGTAAGAAACTCAGAAGAAAATAAATATTTTGAAACCAACTCAAATTAAGAGGAAAATAAATAGCATTGAGTTTGGGACAGATGCATGTAAATAGAGGCACGATCAAATTAATTTGACTGACAAATAAGTAACTGTTATTATTTCTGCATTTGCTACTCACTATAGCATCAAAAACCCCATAAACAGCCATTGCACCGCCAACACCACGCTCGCCAAGTGTAGGCTTGACAATGTGCTTTGTGTATTCAGCCCTGAATGGCCAAAAAAAAAACTCAATTGCAGAAACAGAAAGATAGCATTGAACCCAGTCTAAACAACATAGTACTTAGATCATAATTCTGGGGCATCCTTTACCATACGAATGCTTGCTGTAAGCCTGAATATGCAATAAGGGGGATAATCAAGAGGATTCTTATGTCAAGTAATAGATTCGACATTGCCTTCAGTAAAGATACCACCGAAGAAGAAAAAGTGACACGAGAATCTTGCACTCCTTCCTCTTTACCATTTCTCCTACTTAAGAAGCACATAAGAATAGTACCTAAGGTCATGCTACAAAGAAATACAATGAAAAGTAAAGTTGTGCCGCTGGTACTTCCTCCCTGCAGTCACATCACCAAATCCATTAGCACTTTCCAAATAAATAGTTGTGTCTTTGTACGTATACAAGTATACAAAATCCAGTCAACTACTGTAATTTTATAGGCGAGCACAACAATGTGGAAAGCTTTATTAAGGCCCCGTTTGTTTCTGACTAAAATTAGATATTAATCTAAGTCAAAGTCAAACAATCAATATTAACCACATCTTTCATAAGTTCCACAACTTTTCAATCACACATTTCAAAAACTTCTATCACAATTTACTAAAAATTTAATTTTAATCCCCACCAACACCCCCTAAATAACTCACTAGTTGACAACTCAGCCAGCACTCCCCACTTATAAATATAATGAATGGATCCTTCTCTTTCTCCCTTTTTCAGTTCTCATACTTAAAATGATAATAAAAACTAGAAAGCACAAGTTTATCTTACTTATAAGTGATGCCTTAGAGTGCATAAAACCAAAGAAGACAGAATCATTTGTTGCACCCATTAATTATAACTTCAAAGTTGTCGCACCACACTGTACAGAATCGTAGACAAAGACAAGTGAAGTAATTTATTAATTTATTTCTTCATCCCTTCAAATTAAAATAGAAATGATATAGTCTCTGTTTGGCCCCCATTTTTCTCAAACTCAATTTCAATCACACATTTCATGTGATCCACAACTTTCATCGACTTTTCAACCACACATTTCATCATTTTTTTATCAAAATCTACTAAAAATCTGATTTTTAACTAAACCAAACAGGGGAATAATGTATAGAGGAGATATGTAACGACTTTTTACTACAAAAAGGAAAAATTGATAATATAAAACATAGCTTCCAACAAGTTTACATACCTTCTCATCTCTTAACAATGCCAGAGTGATGAGATTGCCGACAAGCTGCGATATTCAATGTGAAATAGTAACTTTTTTTGGGGTAAATTTGAAACATAAACTTGCAACTAGAAAATATAATCTTCAGTGTCATAGGAGAGAGCAAATGCTGCACCTGATGACTTGCAAACATCCCCCAAAACTCTCCATTAAATTTTCCAATTATTGTTCCTTCATGCAAGTTGAAATCATTTGCATGACTGTGAGCCGTGGAAGTAAGATACGTCCCCTGACAGTAGACACAAAGGTAAGAGTAAAACATAATAGCTCAATTGGACCAACCATTTTATGCTGAGATGTTGAAACAACGTATTGAACCTGTGCAACCCATATTATTGAAGCAGCAAATCCAAGGTACAAAGATGCTGGCACCATAGTATACCTAAAATATAAATCAACAAATACTACATTGAGAAAATATATTCATCGGACAATAATGCGAGCATAAAATCAGATTATTCCATTTATTCTTAGAAGCTAGATTTAGCTTCATACGTATAGGCATCCGCAAACCAAAAAGCCAATTATGGAAAGTAGTTGCCTTGCAAGAATTTCAAAAATCCAACATAAATATGAAAAGTTGAACCCGTCTGAATATTAATTAATAACAATGTCTGGAATATGGACATTTTAACTCATTAAAAATCAATATTACACTTTTCAAAGTAGAGCATAACCGAACCAGAAGAGAAGAAAATTTGACGGCAGAATGACGTATAAACACCTTGAGTGGAATGAATTTAGGTTCATCCGAATCATAGTTACCCATAATTAAAACAACTTGATATAGCTGCACTGCAGTGAGAACATTATGAAACCCATTGGTTTCCCTTCTCATGCAATGTAACATGAAAAGCATCACTACTTAATTTTGAGAAGAAGTGTCATCGAGCATTAGACTCTACAATATCCTGATCACTGAAATTAATGGTCGACAACAATTTATATACACCCATTGACTAGGTCAATTTTGTGAGGTAAAATTATCTTCTATGATATCGTATCAAAGATCATCAATAGAAACAGCAAAAACATGCTGGGATCCTAAAGTCAACTGCAGTGTAATTTTCTAAAATCAATCCAAGTAAAGCTTAATTATAGTGATCATGCGAAACAAAAGGACATACCAAGTAGGCTTCAAATTTGCAGCTATGAACAGCCAATATCCAGTTGTACCGAGAATTAGAGCAATCTTTGAGCCAAGCTTCTTCACCACTAAGGAAGCTAACACCGAAAAAAACGTAAAGGACAGGTATAAAATCCCCAGTGATATGTTCCCCAAATCTCCTTCCTAGAAAATCAAATAAGACTTTATCAGGAATTGATTTGTGTGTCAATTTTACACGCAATTTGGTGTCGAACCAACTCGTGATTTCACCCTCATCTGCACACTTCAAGACTAATCCCAAATCGGAAAATTTACGTCTTTTACAACGAAATGGATTAATAATCAGAAAAGTATGAAAAAATAATCAGGAACTCACAGTATTGATGGTACTCTCTAAGTTTTGGGTAGCCCCATAAGCCAAGAAAATCAGCAGGAAAGCCCAACACAAAATATGAACATCTTTCTTGTGGTTTAAGGTTGGAGTTGGAGGGTTTTCAACGATAAGTGGGGTTTCTTCATCCGTAGCCATTGAAGAACAAAATACTCTGTTCAATCAGTCACATATTAACACCCACATGTAAAGACACATATATATACTAATTGGAAGGGGGAGAATTTGAGCCGGCGAGAGTGAAGCAAAGAAAAAGACATAGAGAAGCGGGTTGTGTTTTAACTGTTAATTGAATTTGAGGGCAACCACCCAAGATTCTGAATCTCAAGAAAAGACAGGTTCAGTCGGCCATTAATATTATATAGATATATAGAGACTGGAGTGTTTTCCCGAGTTCTTTTGTTTGGGATGTTTTTGTTGCTTAGTTCTTGTTTCGTTGGCAGTCCGTCTGGCTGGCTGGCGTATTTTGTCTAAAAGACCTCTTTTCTATGAGTTTGTTTTTTGTTATTGAGCGTGGACCCCACTCTTAGGTGGGAGAGCGTACACAGAGTATACAAATACTAAAAGTTAGTTTGGTAAAGATTAAAATTCAATTAAAATTGAAAATATAGCATTCTTTAAAAATTACTATTACGTAATTTTATTTTTCTTTAAAAAAAAAAGAAAAATTCAATCCACATCGTAAAATGCAAACTTAAAAAGTAGATGGACAATTCGATATCCTCTTTGAATTGAGCAGATCCATAATTATGATTGAAATGTCATAATCCTCGTCAAAATATTCATGTATATATTTGAATGTATCTTCTATGTTACGATTTATTGTGCACTTATATGAAGTGATAACAGTGGAACTCATTGTTTCTTTCTCCAGTTTCCCGTTCTACTTGCTCCTCTAACTTGACTTTTGACACCAATGATACACCAAATTTGATGTAAATTGCAAAATACACCTCTAATGGCACACCAAATTTGGTGTAATTCATTATTCTCATTTTGCCCTCCATTTTCTATTACAACGAATTTTTGTTCCTTCTATTTCCTTTTTTTTTATCATTTTAGAATCAACTGATTTGAATTCATTTATAATTATTTTCATGTGATGATTATTTTTATTTAATATTTTTTAAATTCTAATCAAGTAATTAGTAATAAATATTGATAAATAAATTAAGTATAATTTTAGTAATATCTTTTAGTCAACATAATTCAATAAATTAACATAAATTTTAGTTCATTCAATGTGATTTTTAATTTGATGATTTAGGAATAATATAATTTGTAATGAAATGATTTTTGAAATAAATTGATCTTTGAGAATAAATAATAAGAAAATATAGGAAATACTATTCATTTGTGTAAAATTTGGTGTAACTATTGGAGATGTTACACCAGAACCAGATTGCACCAATTATTATGTAAAAGTTATATTAATTTTGTTGACATATGGTTGACGTCTAGTTTTGATTCTCACAAACAATTTGTTTTTATTTCTAATAAATTGATTTCAAGTGTCTATAGTGATTATTGTATAGAATCGATAACACAAAGTTCGAGGTCAAGTAATTTGCGTACGAAGATCGACGTAAAAACAAATTCGCAAATCGAGGCTATGAAGAACAATATTGAAAAAAAAAACCCGCAAAAAGTAACCTCAACGAGAATCCAGACAAAAGTCGATGAATGGTCAAGCAATGCATGTCAAGATGTTCAAAACATAGTACTTAAACGTTTCACATTCATGTAAAGGTAAAATACTTCAACACTTGGCAAATAATCATTAAGAGCTCAAAGTGAATTTTTATGCATAAGAAAAATTATTTTCAAAATCAAATGATTGTATAAAATTTTTATCGAGTCACTTACCTTAAAAATAATACGTGAGAAAGTATTTCAAGAAATTGCATCAAAGTTCCGGGGCAAAATGCCCATTCGGACGTCCGAATGAGGAACCGAATGTCCGGATGACCTCCAACGGTCACTTTTTTTTACCGTTCTGACATTTTCAAACGGCTAGTTGTTCACACGATCTGGACGTCCGGATGCCTTGTCCGGATGGACAGAGTCTTGGGCAATTTGAGTGCTATAAATACCTCACTCGCTCTTCATTTGTAATAACTTTTTTCTTGAGTATTAAAGTCAGACTTTTATTGATCCTAACAACCTTATTTTCCATCCTTAGAAAATCAAAAACATTAATTCTTGAAAAGCTTTTTGAAACGATTAAAAATTTGTGAAAATACTTGCTTCATCAAAATGCTCTTTAACCTAAACACTTTGAGCTATATTATTTGTCATCTATTGAAGTGTTTGCCTCTTCTCTTCTTGTACTCATAATTGGATCTATTATTAGATAAGAGGAGAATATTTCTCTTGTAAATTCATCTTGGATTGTGGGTCGTGTCAAGGTTCCGGAAAGCTCAACATTGTAAAAGGATTGGTGCTCCTTGATTATAAGTCACCGGAAGCTTTGTAAAGGATTGGATTGCACCAGAAGTCAATCAACATAATGAAAAAGGCATTGCTCATGCCAAGAGTTTGGTAACGGGGGATATAGATCATTGCGTTGGATCGAACCTTCATATTATATTGTTTGCACTTTCTAACCTTTTTTACTTAACGTTTTTACTTTGTACAAGTTCATATTGTTTCATTTACGTGCTTACCTTTGTTTGGTTTATTTCTCTATCATTTGTGTGTTCATTAGATTAAAATCTTGAGTAATTAACGAAAAAAATTAACAACCAATTTGTCCCCCTCTTGGTTAGTCAATCTCGGGCTTTCAATTTTGGTGTAATCATTGAAGATACTCTCATCAACCAAGTGTGCTAATTAGTTAAACCTCATGTTGCTCACGGTTTCATAAATATGAACTATCAATTACTAATCGTGTGCTCATTAGTTACCTTATTCACCAAATTGTTACTTCTCGATCCTTTTTATTGATTAAAAATATCAACTATGTTCTTATTAAAAATAATTTCTCGGCTGACAAATGACTTACTTTCAACTCGATCACGTTAAATTGATGTACAATCATATCTATTTGATCATCCTTCTGTATCGTCTTTTTTTTCCCTCTATATTCAAGTTCGAAAAAAATTTAAGGGTAAAATTCAATCTTATATCAACCCTTCCAAAATCAATTCAATGTATTTCAAATTTATCAATAAAATTAATGATTGATGTATATGTTAGCATCCCATTGTATTAATATTAAAAGTTTTACTATCTAAACAATAGATATTTAAAATACATAATTAAGATTAATAAGCGGGGGAGTAATAACACAGTTTATAAATTGGAGAATAATAGTTTTTAATGAGAAAAATATTTATCTTGTAGTGAATTTTAGTATTTGTTTAGGAAAACTGAAAGTTGATAAAAATCTAAAGTGAAAGTCAACAATTAATTTTAATCATACGTTTATGGATCTCATAAATTTTATCAATTTTTCAA